CGCAAGACTATTAGCTCTCCTGCAAAGAGATTATTCAGTGCTTTATTTGAACTTCAGAAAAAATTTTGAGATCTGAAAAAAATGTATGACCAGATCTGTTGCTGAAACTTTACCCTAAGCAGGATGTGTTAGAAATGTAATGTTATTAATCTAAAAAATGCCAAATATATTTGACTTGCCAGCTTTAAAAGTTCAAAATATAAATTGAATTAGGAAAAGTTAATTGCAGTAACTAAATGCCTAGAATATGGCAGGCTAAACTATATCACATGTGTTAAGAATAAGCAGTAATGATTAAAGATCTCAAGGATTGATTTATTCTCATTTGTCAGATGAAAAAGTATGTAATGCTTACACTTAAAAAAATTATTTTAAGTCAGTGATGCAGTATTTTTGGAAGTCAGTTTTTCTGAAGTAATGTTTAATGTAACATGAAACTTTTATATTTGAAAAAAATAAATAAATAATTACCTCTCTCTCTCTCTTCCCTCACCACCCCTACCTAATAGTGATGATATAGATTGACTCTTTTAAAATATTACAAATTTATACATTACTCATTACCTCCAGACTAGAAAATACTTCCCAAGTCTAGTCCTTAAAATTTAGGGCCAAAAATACTTACATTTTTTTGACCAGCCAGTGTCGCTCAGTGGTTGAGCATTGACCTATGAACCAGGAGGTCACAGTTCAATTCCCAGTCCCAATGTGGAGCATGCAGGAGGCAGCCAATCAATGATTCTCTCTCATCATTATTGTTTCTATCTCTCCTCTTTATCTCCCTCTCCCTTCCTCTCTGAAATCAATAAAATAAAATAAAATTTTTTTTAATTTGGGCCAATACTTACATTTTTAAAAAATGGTAAAATTTATTCTGGAAAGCATATTAAAATATATGTCTAGCCCTGGCTGGCATTGCTCAGTGGTTAGAGCATCAGCTGGAGCACTTAAGAGTCTTGGATTCGATTCCTGGTGAAGGGCGTGTAGCTGGGTTGCAGGTTTGATCCTGGCCCTGGTACAGGCGTGTGTGTGGGAGGCAACTGACTGATGTGTCTCATTTGCATTGATGTTTCTCTCTCTTTCTCTTCCCCATCCCCACGCCCTTCCACTCTCCGAAAATCAATGGAAAAAATATATGCAGGTGAGGATTAACAAATAATAATAATATATCTAATTTTTTAAATTAGCAACACTTTCATGTTGAGAAACATATTAAAACACTTATTGCTTATACATCCACAGTAATCAATTCAAAATATACTAAATACTAGATCAATATTTAACCACAGAGAAAAAAACACATTGCCACCGCAGCTGATTTTTCTCTTTGCATTTAATGAGTTTACATCAAAAAATTAATAATTTTACATTTAAGGAATAAAAGTTTTTTAAAAAAATAATACAAATAGTGAAAGAAAGGATTTTAACCAAGTTTACCTTTCTTTTTTATATAGCTTTTAACAATTCATCTCATCACATTTTATTGCAATGTTCAAATGCACTTGCAGCACCCATTACAATCAGAAATTAAACTTAAGGAAGTACATGTAAGTAATGACTCTCAGGGGAAACGGATCTACTGTCCATTAAAAACTCCATGGTATATAAGCATTACACAATAATGCTGCTTAACCGCCTGTTGTCACAGAAATCACCACCACAGTTTTCTGGAAATGAGTCCACATAAGAATTAATGTTTAAAAGGTGAAATGTTCCTTACGTTTAACTTTAGCAAGATCTTATTTTTTCACTGTTAAGAAACATTTTAATCTAATGCAGAAGCTGTTAAGAGTCTAGAGAGCTAAAACTGTACTCCTGAGTTCAAACTTACAGATAAGTCTTTTTGTAAATAGTTCTCAATAAAATATCCTCCCTCCCCACCCCCGCCCCAGTTCTTACAAAACTTTGGTCAAGAGTAGAAATATATCCAGGCAGATGTATATGCCATCCAATAGCAAGAACTGTAAAGCCCAACTAATGATTTTGGGTTTTAGAAATAGAAGGCAATTTAAAATGTACTCAAAGTTACATTAAGAAAAGCTTTCACAGGGTAATATTTAAAGTCACAAAGGTTAAGAAAATACTGATATCAAATTACAAATAACTACAATGTTAAAAGACAAAACTACTATACAAGAGCCTCTTTTAAAATTAAAAATAAAGAACACAACGCATGAGTCAGGATTATGTTCCTGTTCTACTCATGAATTTTAGTCTTTATATTCATAAGGTTGGTCACACTGACATCGAGTTGATTTTCTTCTGACATCTGATGAAGTCTCATTCCAACTTCAGAGGCTGGCTCTTCCCTAGGGATCCTGGCTTCCGGTCCCCTCCGGGTCACTGTACAATTTCAAAGTAGTGCAATATGGCCATGATGTGCTGGGGCATGAAGACGTACCCTGTGTACAGCGCCATCCCCACGACGGAGACCAGCATGGAATCTGAGTCGTAGTTAAGAAAACTTACTGTTTTTCTGAATTTATTCAAAACTAAATCCCAACATTTTTTTTCAACAAATGTTTTATGTGGAAGTAGCACTTCAATTGGTGTTTTCTCATATATATCAAGTATTTATAAAGAACTAGTAACTGTAGCCACTAATGTTTACTACATTTTTAAAGCTCATTTTAGCTTCACCATCACCATACAAGGTAATTACTATTACTCTCCCTTTTATACTCCAAAGCATCAGGTTGCTTCAAGTTAATCCTAGAAACTAGAGCTGTTTAACCGAAAAGACAGAAATATATAAAAATAAAATTGTATTTAATCACTGTACAAGGTCTACCAACTTGAATAAGTAATTAGTAATGTATGATCCAAGACTTTTCGATTGAGACTGAGCCTAAAAGCATTGGTTTTGGAGCCAATGCTAAAATCAATCATACACCAGTGACATAAGTTGACAGCACCTGCTACTATTAAATATTTAGTATTATCACTAAACTTTGCAACATCAAATAAAAGTCATCTTGATAACCTAACCAATATATGTTCTCTACAGTGTTCCTTCCTCCTCATTCCAAAGGGAAGTGAAACTATACAGATGCAAATCAACAAAGTTTCTGACAAAATATTGATGCAGTGAATAAAGAGCTTCCCTCCCCCCCACACACACACAGTCACATGGCCATGATAAGGGGAATAACAGCTTCTGAACCGGGGCCATGTTTTATCCATCCATCCATTCATTCATTTTCTCTCCCTCCCCCTCCCCATTCCATCGCATACCTTTCAGCTCTGCCTACTAGTGGTTCTATAATACTTTACATTCTTTTATGAGAAGATATGGCTAATATAAACAATATGCTTACTGCCAACTAATATTTGTATAACAGTTTAGATGACAAACCTCTTTCACACATTTCCTTTCCGAGTTCCTGTGAAGTATTCAGAGGCTGACAAAACAGAGGGACTTGTCCAGGGCCACAAAGAAGCTGTCTTTAGAGCGGAGACCGAACGAGCTATTTAAACCAAATTCTAAAGGCATTTCCCTCATCCAGCAAACATGGGCAAAAAGCCCCATAACCACCTCCTTAAGTTTCCTTTTTAGCCTCCCTTAATCAAGTCCTTTCTTAAACTACCACTTCTATTTGCCACTTAATTTCTTTTTCCTTTTTTTTTTTTTTTAAGTACATGCATACCCGCTGCTTCGTATCACTCTCCGGTCACCAATGACCTCTTAGCAAATCCAATGGCTATCTGAATTGACTCTATTTTACTTTTCTCTCTTCAACACTCTTCCACCCTGGTCTCAGATACTCCCTAGGGCTCTCCTCCCATCTCTCGCACCACTTTTCTGTCTCACTGGCTCTTTCCCTGTATGTTCCTTTTGTGAATTTTGTGCTTTTCTCTCACACACACACTCCTTTCTCCTAGTATAGCAGCCATGCTCTTTGTGTAGGCCTAACCCTGCCCCACGTCCAAGGGTAAGTCCCACTAGATCTTAATCAATTAGTAATCGCTTCTTTCCGTAATAATTCCTGCCCCCAAAACTATCAATCGGCTCAAAGCTTAGGACTTCTGCCAGGACTTCAGGAACGCAGATCCTCTCCCTCCCTCCCATCCTCAAATATGCAATTTGCTGATGTCACTCTGCCGCCATGAGGAATTACTGGTGTCACTCTGCCGCCATGAGGAAAGCAAAACTCAGAACAAAGCCGACTCATGAAGGTGGTGGAACAAAAATAATCACAGAAAAATGGAGCCAGAACCCTAATCAAACCCCCTGGAGCCCACCCTACCACTGGACTTTCTGATACAGAAGTCAATTAATTCCCTTCATTCTTAACCAGTCTGAGTTAGATTTTCTTTGTTACTTGCAGCTGAGAGCATTCTAAATGATAATAATGGAGTTCCCAATATTTTGTCTTGGGTCCTATACACTCTCATCACTTAAACAATCGCCTTCATGTTGTTGACCTGACCATACCATACAGACAAATATTTTCTACAACTTACTGAACATTTCTATGACATTCCATAAGGTATTTGGAATTCAACGAAGCCAAAACTGAACTTATTTTCTCCAAAACTACCTCTTCCTATGAGTCCTATTGTTTCAACTACTTGAAAATAGTTGTTGTAATTATTTGATATAACTATTGATTAACTATCTCCCCAGTCATCCAATCTATAAACTACTTTTCTTTTTGTTAGGATGATTTCTATATTCAATACATAACAGGGTGCTAGTGACACAGGGCCCTGTAAAAGGAGAGACACAATTACTTGCAATTAAAAATTTAAAATCCGCCGAAACCGGTTTGGTTCAATGGATAGAGCGTCGGCTTGGGGGACTGAAAGGTCCCAGGTTCGATTCCGGTCAAGGGCATGTACCTTGGTTGCGGGCATATCCCCAGTAGGGGGTGTGCAAGAGCCAGCTGATCGATGACTCTCTCTCATCGATGTTTCTCACTCTCTATCTCTCTCCCTTCCTCTCTGTACAAAATCAATAAAATATATTTTTTAAATAAAATAAAATAAGTAAATAAAAATTTTAAATCCTAGATCAGTATATTTAAAAATCTACCAAGTTCTGATGGAAATTTTGCATCAAGTACGTTGGGGTCGAATGAAAAAGGTATCTTCCAGAAGTTGATTCTCCTGTAGCTCTTTGGCGGGTCCTGCTTGCCCCATCCTCTTCCAGGTTGATTTTAGAGAACTGAGTTGCAAGCACCGTGACTCCAAGCTCGTTTCTCTGCAGGGATGGGGTTGAGGTCTAGAAGCGAACTTTTGGCTCAGAGATTGAGCCAAATCCAGCAGAGCTGCCTCATACCAGGAGGAGTCGTGTTGGAATGATGATGTGACTGAGCTTACAAGCTCCTTTTGGCTTTCTGCTGTCATTGGAGATGTAAACACATATTTTCTAACTCCTGTCATCATCCCTCTTTGGAGTCGAGATCTGTATAAGGGATATTTCTTTTGACATGTCCAGAGGGCATCATCTTCCATAGGTGAGTGAAACCCAACTGTCTTCTTCTCCCTTCTAGTCTCTCCGCTGTTAGTGGACTCTTGGTGCGTTTTGATGGATGATGATGTTCCAGTCACATGGTGACTGCAGCAAACCTGGTCCAGAGTCACTCCCATTCATATCCAAGTCGAACTCTCAGGGCTTAGTGAGCGCTTTCATCAGCAATCAGTTCTTTCCACTTAAACACAGCTTGAATCCTTAACCAACTGTAGCCTAGGCGAGACTGATGAAGCTGCTACTGTCTTAGGAGAAGTTTTGTCTCCAGCAGATGCTGAAGGCACTCCTTTTTCATTTCCAGCTCCATTTTTTGAAGCATAACTAGCTGCCTTCTGTCTTCTGATAGCTGCTTTTTGAAATTGGTCTCACTGGGCTGCAGTACCTCTTGGCCATGCACCAGAGATGCCCAGGAATGCCCACTATAATGGCATGATTCCAGTGTGTCTTGGAATACTGAAGGGTCATGTCTGTAGAATGGCTAACATGAACATGATCTGCATTTTCAGAAAGTTTACCAGCACAACACAGTCTAGACCAGTGGTCACCCACCAGGGGTCCGCAGGCCACAGGTGGTCCGTGAGGTCCGAAAGATTGGCGGCCGCTGGTCTAGACTGTGTAGTCTTAAGGTGCTAGCATGCCTTCATCTTCAGTGCCTCTGAAGGTACTTTCTCTGTAGGGGCTGCATCTGCTAGTCTTTCCCTTGGGGATCCATAGTCACATGTTCTGGTTTCTGACGGCACCCTGTCTAGATCCTCTTTGGGATTTTGATGGGCTGATGGTTTCAAAGAATTATTCCTGAACTCCACAAGGAATTCAGTTTGCAGACTTAGGCCTTTGCTTGGTTTGGTAGTAGGTTTGTGGTTTGGCTACAGGAACATCCAGTTCCATGGATAAAGACGGGAGTGTGCTCTTCCTATTGAATAGCTATTGTTCCTGCATTCTAGCAGCATCAAGTGCTGAGAGAGACATGGTGAGTTTCTCTTTATCTTCAGACAGATATTTCTGATAGAGTTCTTGGCATTCTCTGTACTGTAGCTGGGCCTTGTCTTGAGCCCCTGCCTCTTCCGGGGACCAAACCTTCATGAGACAGAAAGGATGATCCAAGGGCAGAGCCATGAGTCCAGTAGGGGAGAGCCTCAAAGCAAAGAGGATATTTCCAGGCCCTGAAACCTAATAGAGCTTGTCAGACTGGATTTCACAATCGCCTGGAACTGGTAACTGCATTTTCCCTTCAATTTGCCCCCTTCCTGAATGAGAATTCCTAGAGCTTTTACCCAATGCCTGTCCCACCACTGTCTTCTGGGAACAGATAACTTGCTTCTTGAGTTTCACAAGTTCACAGAGCTTCAAACTTACTTGATCCCTTCTCTCCACATTCAAATTATCTGACTTCTCAGTTCTTCCCAACCCCTACAAGGGACTTTATAGTTTAAGTCCCCCATCCTAATCAATGATAAATGATTGAGGTATTTATCACTCCTTGCTTAATCAAATAAAAGCTCCCATTTTAGGCCTCTAGACACTTTGCATGCCACTCTTTACTACAGTGATCCTTTTACAATGCATTAGGCCCTAACTGGTTTGGCTCAGTGGATAGAGCGTCGACCTGCGGACTGAAGGGCCTCAGGTTTGATTCCGGGCAAGGGCAGGTACCTTGGTTGCAGACACATCCCCCAGTGAAGGGTGTGCAGGAGGTGGCTGATTGACGTTTCTAACTCTCTATCACTCTCCTTTCCTCTCTGTAAAAAAAAATCAATAAAATATATTTTTAAAAATACATTTAAAATGCATTAGGTGTCAGGCTGGTGTAGCTCAGTAGTTGAGCATCAACCCATGAACCAAGAGGTCACTGGTTTGATTCCTGGTCAGGATGCACGTCCAGGTTGCAGGCTTAATCCCCAGTACAAGGCATCTATCAGTGATGTTTCCATCTCTCTATCCCTCTCCCTTCCTCTCTCTCTAAAAATCAATAAAAACATGTTTTTTTAATGTAATTGGATAGCATTACCCATAGGTAATTGGATAGTGCCCATAGGATAGCACTTGAAATTCTAAGCCAAGCTTCCAAGGATGTTTCCAATCTAATCCAAACTACCTGTCTTAGGTTGAAGTCCACAGAAGCAGACAGGAATTAAGGGATTGGGACAGGGATTCTTGTATAAATTACTCTTGAGGGCGTTTTCTCAGAAGGCTCAGAGGCTCAGTTCTAGAGCAGCGGTCACCAACCTTTGGTCCTCACAGACCACAGTGATCCGCAGACCGCTGGCTGGTGATCGCTGCTCTAGGCCAGTGGTCAGCAAACTCACTATTCAACAGAGCCAAATATCAACGGTACAAGGATTGAAATTTCTTTTGAGAGCCAAATTTTTTAAACTTAAACTTCTTCTAACATCACTTCTTCAAAACAGACTCACCCAGGCCGCGATATTTTGTGGAAGAGGCACACTCAAGGGGCCAAAGAGCCGCATGTGACTCGCGAGCCGCAGTTTGCCGACCACTGCTCCAGAGCATGAATTGTACCACATAGTTGGTGATGCTGGAGGCCGGGGGGCTGACCTTTTGTATCCCTTTATCTGTCCCTCACTGGCCACAGGGTGTGGGAAGGAAAGTCCACCTGAGTAAGACAACTGCCTGGGCTGAGGGCACCAGGCTGGAGAAAGGCAGCTAACGGCACTGGCAGTCAGCACTCACAGGGGCTCGGGGACCCAGGTGGGGACCAAGAGCAGCACGGCACTCCTTTCCACCGCTCCACCCAACACTCCAAACCATCCCAGCAAACACCATCCTACTCGCAGCCATTTTACCTGAGCTCAGGAAGCAGCATTCTCTACTTTCATACCGCTCTGCCTTTGACTAGTAATACGGTTCAATAATAACATACAAATAAGCCGAAACCGGTTTGGCTCAGTGGTAGAGTGTTGGTCTGCGGACTGAAAGGTCCCGAGTTCGATTCCAGTCAAGGGCATGTACATTGGTTGCGGGCGTGTGCAAGGGGTGTGCAAGAGGCAGCTGATCGATGTTTCTCTCTCATCGACGTTTCTAGCTCTCTATCCCTCTCTCCTCCTCTCTGAAAAAAACAATAAAATATATTTTTAAAAATAAATAAATAAATAAATAAATAACATACAAATAAAAGTAGCAGCAGCAGCTCTCATTTGTGAAAGTCTAGTGTGCGCCCAGCAGTTAGACACTTCAGCATGCTCAAGCGACATTCCCAGTCAGAGCAAACAATGGCGCCGGTTCCGAACCACGTCAACTGATCACCAAAAATCTGTGTTCTTAACTAATCGCTATACTGTAATACAGCGATTTTCAACCTTTTTTATCTCGTGGCACACATAGAATAATTACTAAAATTCTGCAGCACACCAAAAAATATGCATTTTGCCAATCTGACAAAAAAAAAAAAAAATAGGTGTAATTTTGATTCATTCACACTGGAAGCCAGCTATTGGTGTGTTGGCTATTGTCATTTTGTTACTCGACAAACTATAGGAAAGGAAAGAGGTATAGCACCCCTACCTAAATAGTCAGGTATTGCATGTTTTAGAAATTCTTACAGCACATCAATTGAAAATCGCTGCTATAATACCTCCCTACATATGAAGAGCCCTTCTCCTCCTAATAAAACCTTCTTAGAGCTCAGCTGGTTTCCTCCTCTTACACAAGGCCTTCCCTAGCTCTCACATTTTTCTCATTCTCACCCTAACCTGCTGGCAGAATTAATTACTGCCTACTGCTCATATAAAACCACTCGTACCACCTGACATGACCTACTTCGAGACGTATTTATCTCATCCAGATTATCAACTCCTTGAACACAGGAACAATGTCTTAGTTTTGTATCTCCTAACATAACACATACGCAATAAATATTTGATGAATAAGGGACTGTTTGAGAAACAGTATTTGACACTAGAATCCCTGTGGTGCTTCCTACATATCCCACATATTATGTGACTGACAAACTTTATAGTGACTACAAAGGAGAAGAGCAAAATCTATTTCTAGGCAATACTATATTTTCAAATTGCTTTTTTGGTTTTTTACAGCTTTTATGTAAGTCTTATAAAAGTATACACCGAGCAAATTAAATGATATAGTAATAATCTTCAGATCATTGGCTCAAATTCAATTCAAATAAGAAGTGATTACAGAAAACAGCTATTTGATTGATTATTGCATGTACTCTTTATGGCACTGTAATTCTCTGTTAGTATGGAGAATATATCAGTTAAGGATCATGCAACTAACAGAGATCACTCCCATATAAGACAAGAACCTGAAAATTAAGCTCAATTTTGTGAACACTAAATTATCTAACTTTTAAATTTTTATGTGCATAAAAAAATCACGATGTTTTCCTAAGTGAAATAAGATCTTATCAAAACCTAAAGTTTTTTTGGCTAATTAAGATACTAGAGATTGTGACTGCAAATAGCATTATGCTGTGATGCATACATGTGGAATAAAAGTAATAAAAAATGGCAACTGTATATGATAATTCAGGACAGTGGTTACTTGGTGGAGTGAAAGGGGGAGAAGGGAGAAGCAACTGAAAAGGGGCATTAGCGTTCTTCAAAGGCACTATAACGCTTCTCTCACTCAGCTGGTAGCACATGCACATTCACTGTATTATATTTTGTGGGGGTCTCACATGTCTAAATAAATAAGAACTGTAAAGGAAAATGGAACCACAAATGGTATTAGACTAAAATCTGTTTTGTGCTGAAACTGGTTTGGCTCAGTGGTAGAGCGTCGGTCTGCGGACTGAAAGGTCCCAGGTTCGATTCCGGTCAAGGGCATGTACGTTGGTTGCGGGCACATCCCCGGTAGGGGGTGCGTAAGAGGCAGCTGGTCAATGTTTCTCTCTCATCGACGTTTCTAGCTCTCTATCTCTCTCCCTTCCTCCTCTCTGTAAAATATCAATAAAAATATATATTTAAAAATAAATAAAATAAAATAAAATAAAATCTGTTTTGTGTGAAAGAACTAACTCCTTTACAAAACTGAGTTAGACATCACTGGATCTAATTTGTTACAAGGAAATAAAAAGAGTCTTAGCTTCCAGAAATAAAATAAACAATTCTCAATTCGGACCAAGTTAAACAGAAAATTATCAAAAGTCACCTGGACCTAGATGCAAATGCCAATTTACAAGTGGCTCAAAAAAATGTAACAATGAACCTTCCCTTTTACCCAGAGCCATTCACTAAATCCAACTTTATCTTGAGCCCCCCAGAAACGTTTCTATATTCTGATCCCATCTCTCCCCTAACTATTTCCAAATCACGATAGTTAAATAAGCTTCTAAAGGTGAGTTTTCTATGCAATTAGATTTCAAAATTATTCCCTAAAATTATCTTAAAGCTCTCAAAAATTCTTAAGGGAGTACAGGCAGTCCTCGGGTTACGTCGAACTCGACATATGCCGTTTTGTGGTTACATCGCCATCTCCCGTTTATTTATTTAAAAAATAAATATTCTGCAACAAAAGGCAATACAGTGCTTATTAAAACTATCATTTGAGGGGGTGGGCATTTAACATTATGACTCAAACCAGTGTTTGATAACTGCCCAAAGCAGCTCTTGTACTAATTTATTATTACTTTATAGTACAGCCTGGGACATGAACACCTCTCGGGGCCCGAGCTTCTCCATGAAATGAGGCTGCTGCCTTCATTAACATCTAGGATCCCACTTGCTTGGAGAGGGCATTTAGACACCAACTCTCAACCACCTTTCACATACTTTTGTCTCACCACAGAAAATAGAAAAATAATCAATGTTATCTAACACACATACTTTGGAAAGTGATACACAATATGACAGTAATCTTTCTATTTGTCAAGTTCTTGTTTTTCATGTAAGTATCAGTAGCTGTACACAAATTAATCAGATCTATATTCTAGAGGAGGCTACATGATTCAAGAAATATATCAATACAATAAAATTAGAGAAATCTAGATTAAAAACAAAAGACCTCAACAACTAAAAAACAGACTTGTGTTTTGTGTGTTTATAACTGTCTCTATCAATGAATTTTAAGTTTTTGAGAGGAAAAGCACCTCAGCTCAGCCATCCTTTGCTTCTTCCTGGAGTTCACTGCAGGATAAAGCAGGCACTGCATAAAACACTCAAGAACTGAGCAGATAAGGTGCCAGGATGTGTGCAGGTGCTGAAGATAAATTTGTTCAAGAGCTGAATGAACCATCAGAGGTTAACTATATTATAACATAAATATTTATTTTATGGGCTCAATGGATTTAAAAGCAAATGGAAACCATTGATCTGCATGTTGTTTGCTGCTTCTTTAACAGGGCTTTCCAACTAATCAGGAGCTGATAAGTGTCCAGATAGGAAAATATAAAGATTTTTTGCCCATATGAGGGTCTTTCCCAACTTTTTCATGCAACAACCACAAAAAAAAAAAGCCCAGTAACAAAAAAAGGAAATGTTTTAAAAATAAGTACAGTAATCAGAAGATGCAAGACCACAGTAACTAACATTTCCTGTCCCAAACAGTAACTCTGCTTTCTCATTGCCTATTTGAGTCACAAGACTTTAGAGAAATCAAAAGTAGTTTCTCAGTGGGAAAAGGCCAGGGACCTTTGTTCCAGTGGGTATGATTTATCTCTTCACTATTCTAAATAACTTCAAACCTTTAAATCTCTGATTGCACTAGTCACA